ATGGAATATAAAATTATCAAATGATTAGATTCATGATTATAGGGACTTACCAGAACAATTAATAAATGTGGACACACAGTCCGTGAGGGTAAATAATCAAACGTAGCTTATGTCACAAAAACAAACATGGACACACAGTTCATAAGGGTAAGTAACCAAACGCAGTTTGAGCTATGAAACAAATGTGGACACATAGTCCATGAGGGTAATGCTAACCAAACGCAACTTGAAGCCACGAAAGCCAACACGAGTACGAGGCCCACGAATAACAAATATGAGAACAAAGTTCATGAAAATCAAACTAGCTAGTCATTGACCATGACACACTAAGGGTTAACGGAACTGACATTAGCAACTAGTGCTTTGTAATAAGTCTCTTTTAAATTTATTTTCAAACATGTGAGAAAATCATCACTTTCAAAATAAATTTTTTATTTTTAATATCAAATTTGCATGAATCATTTTTTTCGTAGCAATTCAATAATTTTTAGAATGAAATTTCATAATTAGAATCCAAACTTGTATTTACTGATTAACTAAAATAATCAATTCTAGTAAAATAATTTCATGAAATAAAGTAATTTAATTAACAAAATATCTAATAATCACATTGTTGTTGTAAAAAAAATTTGCATAAAAATGTAATATTTTAATAAAGAAAATTTTATTAAAATATTAGTTGGGATGCTATTCACTTACTTGTAATATCTTCAAAGCTCAAAATTCATTTTTACAACTCCAATCGAGCTACCTTCCTTACAATATAAAGTATAATAAGATTTTAATGCACTTTACTTTTGAATCAATAAGTCTCTTTTAAGAGAATCCATTCAACAAAATTTATAAAAAAAAACTTTGAAATTTTAACAACAACATAAAAGTTTTTCCTTAGGCTTTTTACACGACATCTAATGTATGACATTCCAAACCATTGAATAAATATATAACCTTTAATTTTCTTGACCAACCATTTCCAAACATCCAAGTATGACTTCTAAATTGATAATATACCTTATACACTCTTCAACCTTATAATTCTCAATAATTTTAGAACTTAGTTAAGATCTCAATAATTCCTTTAACGAACTCCTTTGCAAAAGTCCAATTTAGATTTATAGATAATAATGTTTAAGCAATATCATTTATGTCACTAATTTCCACCTTAATGATTTAGCCATATCAACCTGTTTACGTGATATAACATTTTCTCTTCAGTACATTGTTTTCAACCATACAATTAGAATTTTCTAACCTACCATATTTTATCCAACACTTTATTAATAACCATTCTATCCCCAAGAATTTAAAGTTACATACAAATTTATAATAATCAAATTCCTTTAATTTGTAACCTACGAGCTAAATTTATGGATCAATAACACTTAAACTAATGTATTTGTCACAATAACTAATAAAATTTTATAAATCTAAGATATTCAAGCAAAACTCTCCTAGAGGCATTTCATTGAACACTTATCATCCATTAATTCTTAAACTAACACCAAACCTCTTACCTTTAAATTTCATCTCATACAAATCACAAAATTGATATTGAACTCAATCAACCAACCCAATTCTAATTCCTTAACAGGAAAAAAAATTCAATTGGACCTTAAAGAAAATTAAATCTTATTCCTCTTCTTTAACATAAGCACAAGTGCATTTATCTACCAAAAATCACACTCCTAGAACTAAATTTTCAGCTTGTTTAGGTCCTATTACTCCTCCTATTTATGCATAGCAACAAGAAAAAATAAGCCACAACTTAGCCATATAACACACTCACATATTCAATGAGAAAAATAAGACCCCAAACACCCATCTCAATCAGCAAAGTTAGCAGCAGGGTGAGGAAATTAACTAAGCAAAAATAGAGGATCAAACTGACATAGCCATAGCTACCCACACTTGAACACAGTGGTGACATCAAACCAAGAAGAAACAAGGGAAGCCATCACATGGTCAAAGACGAGCAAAGGAGGAAGAAGATCTCAAACCCATAATAGTACTCGTAACAGCAGCAGACCAACGGAGGGGAAGAAGGATGAGCTCTACTCATCATCACCTAGATGATGCTGAAGGAGGGAGAAGAAGGAACCGATGGTGAAACCTAAACAAAGAGCAAGTAGATCGACTTGAATAGATTTCTTGCAGCAGCAAACTCTGATGATCTGAACACCTACATCGGCAACCTTGAAGACTGAAGAGGAAGGATGGAGAATGTCATGGACATGCTAGAATTGAAGAAGAGCAGAGGTGATGGTTTTGGATCTTTTAAAGGAGAAGAAAAAAAAAGACGCGGTGCATGCGTATCTGACTAAGAGAGAACATAATTCTAAACTTTATGAAATTGCAACAATTACAAGAGAGAGCCCAAAATTTCTTCTAATAACATAATAGACATGGGTACTTTGGTAATTTTTCCATAATTTTAAACTAAATAAAATTAATTTATTACTAAAATATTAAAATTAAAACTTTGGACCTTCAAATAAGCTATTAGCATAAGTTCTATTAACTTACCCCTCTCCATTTTCGATAAAACTAATTTAAAGAAAATATAAATTAGGAGAAATTTTTTTTGGGTCATTACAAGTGAGTCATAAGTTGTCCATATAAAAAAAAATTGTCTAAATATTTGAAATTATCTACAACAATACCAAGCTGATTGATTCTTAGTTTAATTACTTTTAAATTGAAGTAGGAGGTAATTAGTTCCACTATCTTCACATTCTATTTAAGTTTAATTTGTGAGGGAGATTGATTTTGCACTAGTTATTTATTTATTTTAGTTGTTGTTGTTAATTAGGTTGATTTTTTCTACGCAAAGGTTAATATAATAGCTTAAAATTGGTGTTTCTCAAGGCTTATCTCCAATTCTATCGCTAGTTATATAAATACTTTTCAACTAATGCCATAATCATACTTAAACTTATGTTTCCATCGCTCTCTCCCCCTTCTCTCTCTCTCTCTCTCTCTCCTCACTCTCAAAAGCTTGCATTCAGTTTTTTTATACAAACACAACTAAATTTCCTTATTTTTAACTCTTAATTATAGTTCCTTGAAGTTACAAAAGGGACAAACTTCACCTGCTAATTATAACATGTAAATCCAATAAATTTACACTAAAACTTCATATCAAACACCTTATGTGCAACAATGAATGCACCAATGAATACCCAAAAAAAAATCATCACACTTCTTACTCTTAAATTCTCAGACCCCAGCTTCCAAACATCTTTATAAATTTAAATCCAATACGACACAACCTAAATCCTTCATGCACCAAAACAAATAGACTAGACATGGGAAACCAAACATGCTACTAACACACAAGAACATAGCAGCAAAGAAAGAGAGTTTATAGCATACTCGGACACAAGATTGTGCAAGAGGAAGAAGTGCGAAACAAGCTCACACACCACACCTGCACAGCAGCATCAAGATCAAGTGAGGAAGATTCCAACGATGTAAAGAAAGAAGGATTGAAGCTCTATGCACTCACTGTCACTGAAGTGTCAATGGAACAAGCAAAAAGAAGAGAAGGACGAAACATGACAAGAAAGGGAGAAAAAGAGTGTGTCACACCCACGGCAGTGGCACAGACAAAGGAGGAAGAAGATTCTGACATGCCCATGGTCACTGATGATGAACACGAAGGTGGAGGAAGATGAACGAAGGGGAACTCTCAATTATGCACAACAAAAAAAAGGGAACGAATATGAAAATACAAATACAAATATGTGATGGAGTTGTTTTAATCTCTATATTTGTCAAAATAGTCTTAAAAAAAACTAATTAAATACCATATCTAGAACAATTACAAAAGTAGGGAATCATAAATCCAGAACACTAGTAACAACATAAGGTATAAACAATGTCAATAAGCCTTCTTCCTCTTTGGTTTGTCATTTTCCATGTTTTCTTACTACCTTTTGCTTTCCTCTTCCCTTATCCTTGTTTTCACCAGCATAAATCCTATGTTCAGATCAAACTATATCACATTTTAGGTACAGAAGATAACTTGTAAATCCCATATTTGGACTTGTAACTTAGAGATCTCACTTATAAATGCTTTAAGTTGACTTCTTGTTCCAAGAGGTTTATAAGGTGAAAAATAGTAAAGAAAACTATTTTCATATGCACAAACCATGTGTTCAAATCCAACAGTTTAACATGTAAACTACATAAAAAGACTGTTAAGTTACTAATTTTGACTTAGAAGTCGGAAATATTTCACTTGTAATTGCCATTACTTTTAAATACTTGGAGATTATGAAGGTTTAACCCAAATTGGTCTAGAATCATAAACAACTTGCATGTAAAAATAGCATAATCACTTGCAAATTATCCCTAGAAGTCAGCTTTTCCATACAACATTTAAATTAAACAACACTTTATGTGGATTGTCACATGCTAATTTTTAAAAATAAATGAACCATTGCTACAAAACATTTAATAAAAATAAATATAGCACTTGCTATGAAATGGTCACCTACTCAATTATCAATTACAGGCACTCCCAATCCTCAACTGATCTCATTAATTTTTTAAAAAAATTATAGTTCTTCATATTTTATTATATATTTATGGGAGTTATTTATTTTTATAAAAAATTATTATCATTATAATTATTGGTTTAATTTTTTTTATTCACATGTTGATAATGTGATGAGATGAGAGTGAATTTTTAAAAAATCATGCAATTTAAATTGAGGTGTAAAATTATTTTCTACAAGGAACAATTAAAAAAAAATTTAAACTAATGTATATGGATATAATAGTAAATTGGTTATTACCTTTCCTCCTAAATCAACTAAAGGATTATTAAAAACTCCTCCCCTCCCCTATAATAAAACCAAACAAGGTAATATTAAAACCCTCCCCTATAACATCCTCAATTTTAAATCAAATTAATTAAGCTTAAATAGACTAATTAAGTGTATTGGTCAGGTGTGTGGCTAGAGAGGTCTAACGGGTGTATTTGGTTTCTATTTCAGCTTTAAATGCTGGTCCAAAGGAGAATCAAGTTACCCAAGAATGTAAGAGAAAGAATTTATGAAGAAAGTGATTCTATGCCACATACCGTAGTGCATGTGTGACAACACACACGCTTGGGAGAGGCTCTCTGTGCCATGCACCTTGACTCATTGTGCATTCACCCATGACATATGGTCAGATTTTTACTGTATTAAGTTGCAAAACTGAAGCAAAAGAGAGGAGAAAAACGAAGGGAATTGAGAGAGACGAAAGAGCTAAGCTTGGGCTTGAAGAAACTGACTTATAAGAGTAATTTAAAACTCATAAACACTAAAGGTAAGCTTCCTTACTTAAATATTTATCTCTTCTTCCATTTTCTTGATGGTAAAAGTTAGGGTTGATTGATAATGGTGATTTTCGATCCATAGAGGCTATGAGTCCAAACCCATTTACTTAAATAAAGTTAATGGGAGTTGATTAAGCTAAGTAAATTTGGTATTTATGATAATTGTTAGTTGGAGGACATTAAATATTCAAAATTCTCATAAATATGGTAGTTGGGAATAATGTGGTTTCATTAATGACCATTTAAGAGCTTAATATTATTAATGAGGGTTAAAGGAAGCTAAGAAGCCTTATGGGTACTTTTACATGAGTCAAGAATAAATCTTGAGTATTAAGAAATGTTGAAGTGTTAGTGAAAAATAGCTTAAATATGGATATTGATGTTTTTCATGGTAAATGCTTATAGAGTAACTACCTTTGACACCATTTAAGCTTCTTGAAAGTTTTAGGAGTAATTGAGGGGGTGAAACCTTTGACCTCTCAAAGGTTTGAGGTAATAGGGGAAATTCTATCTTATGCTTTTGTGTGTTTATTAGTTTATGGATTTATAATTGATTGAAATGTGTAAATTAAAATGAAATGCAAGTATGGCTTGATTTGTTAGAAAATCCACTAAATTGATTTTGTGAGTTTTATGCCTTGTGATGTGAAATTCTTTAAGAATAATATCGGTGGATTTTCATATTGTGTTTATTAGGATTTCAATGAATTTGTGATTTGAGAAGTAACATGAATCTTTTTTTATAAGAAGTTCAATGACGTTTAAACTAGTGGAGTTTAATGACTTTGAAAGTGTGAGGTACAGTGATTGTGAAATTAGAGTTCAATGACTTATTTGATTTGAAGTTCCATGAAAATGTGTTTAAGAAGTCTAATGATTTGTGTAATGATGAAGTTTAATCAAATGGATAATGTGAAGTTTTATGAATTGTATAAAGTGTAAATTATGGGATGAATATGCATTGCATGATCTTGAGAGGCGAGAGTTCGCCTAGAAAGAGGAGTAGATGATAAAATCCACGTGGTAAGGCCCCATCTATATGATGGTTTGTCCAGATTGATTATATCTATATTGTCCCACTTGTTCAATGAGGGACTGTCCCATTCGTTTAATGAGAAACTCAAACTTAGTTAGCTGTCCACTGGTTCAACGAGAAAGCTAGTTTAAGGTGTATGACACCCTATAGTGTGAGAAAAGGGGGAAAACATATTCTATAAGTGAGTTAGGTGTGCCTTAGCTAGCTAATCCCCTCACAAGTGTTTAGGTTAGGGAAGTCATGGAATATAGACTATCCCATTATATTATCGTTCACAAATAAGGGAGGTGTGGTTATGCATGTAGTGAGTAAGGGCACATGGTTATCTGCATTGTGACCCTGATAATGATAATCGTGAGTGAGTCTTAATTACTTCTGATTACCTGTCAATGACTTGTATGACCAACTCTCTTAATATGGAAATTTTTATAAGCATTATTTTCCCAATTTGCTACTTGAAAATGTGGATGTATATTCTTAAATGTTTTACCTGGTCTGAAGAATTATTTATATGCCACTTGCATTTTAAACTAATTAACATGCATTAGTATAGGTCAGTCGAGCCTTGGTTACTGAGTGTTTGTACTCACTCCATTATCTTCAATATGATAGGAAATAGCTCAAGAAGTGTGGACAGAGGATAACATCCAAAGGCTTAGGACTGCGATCCTATTATAGTAGGCCTCTTTATTTTGAGTATTTATATGTGTATGTGTATGTCAATTTCAATTGTCAATTAGTAATTCTCATTTAATCCTTACTTGCATTATGTAAATTGTAAATTGTAAGTGTATTTTAGGCCCTAGGGAGTGAGTTGATGATATATGTTATTTGTGATAGGGCCAACATACTAATGCAAGTAAGAGCAGAGCATATTATGAGATAATTATAAAGTGACTTGATGAAAATTGTGGTAAACTCTCCCTTGTATGCTTTTGAGATTAAGGGATTGAGTAGTGAAATTTGATCTGTGAGTATTTCATGTGATATGGTGCATTGCATGAGTTAGTCTTAATAATTTGTATGTGATCAAATTGGTGTCCATGGCTATTGGTATTTTGGCAAATGGTTTGGATATTTGATTTTGTGAAAATTGTTCAAAAAGTATAAGTTTTGAAAAGTGTGTCCAATTTTTAATTTAGAAAGAATTTGAGTCTATAACCAATACCATTAATTATAGCTTAGAAAGAGCTTTCTGTAGATACCTAGTTAGTGTCAATCGAACGTTAGACAAAGATTTGGGGCATGTTAGAAGTTACCCCTAATGCTGTCAAGTTAACAGTAGAATTTATTATCAAAATTCGTGCAATTGTGCCGCGATGCATGGTACTATGAACCACGGTGTGTGTCATAAAGGCAAACATGCTGTGGCGCATGTTCCATGAGCCATGGCGCACACCTCAAAATTTTTCAGAAATTTTCTTATTTCAAATTCTTAAATAAATGCACTCATTTATATAATAATGCCATGCTTCTGCATATTTATGAAACTCTTATTTATCTAATTGTATGACTTTGAAAATGATTTTAGTTTTGTAAAATTAGTATCTACATTTTGTTAACTATGAAACTTGGTATTATGTTAATCATTATAATCCTATTTCCTATTTACTTGAGAGTTGGAGTAATTATGGGATTAGAAGAAGGAGAATATTACATCTCCTCCATCACCTCCTCTCCCTTTCCCTCGAACCAAACACACCTAAAGCATTCTCATACCTACTTGAAAGCAGCTACATATGAAGAATCTTGGTAACCCTTCTATAGGTCGAATAATAAATGCTCCCATAGATTTTTTTTCTTTCTTGGTAGTAGTGTCATCATAAGATCCTTCCATTCTTATTCTCTCTTCTAGAAATCTTACTAATTATTTACAAAAACATAAATATTAAGGTGATATATATTGTTTCCTAAAAATTATCCACTGGTCACACATATTTTTATCTTTTATCTTTAGAATATTAATATATTTTAAAAAAGTTAAAGTAATTGAACTTCTTTGACAAGCTCTTATACGTATTCTTAAGCAAAAAGGATTTATTGGGTTGAATTAAAGGATTAAACCCAACAATTTCACGAGAAACTATTTGTTGCAAATATTGGCTCTCAAGCATTAAAATAGCTCATTGTAATATTACCCCTCAGCTAATGTCTAATGGACATTAACACTAGTCATTAACTATAATTTAACTTTAGGTTGAAATAAATTATTTTTATTACTAAAGTATTCATAAAATAGTGACTAGCACTTTAAGGTGGAGCAATTGTTATTGCTACTTTTTTCTCAACGAAACTAGAGACATCGTGTTTAAGGTATTACATGTTTTGCTAACTAGGTATTTAATAGTAAAAAAAAATCTATCAACCCAAATTACCAATCATTGTCACCATTTATATATATATATATATATACCATGACTTGATGTTATTTCCATATAAGTTTTGGTTAAGAAAATGAGGATGAAGTGGATGTCATTCATCGTGATAAAACAAAAACAAAAAAAAAAAAAAACATTTTCCAACCCACTAACTTTAAATTGATGGTATTGCCGCTGTAGATGATATGTGTGTGTGTGTGTATGTGTGTGTGTGTCTTAGTGGCAAAGTTAGAATCGTAGGTTAGAAGAGGTAAATTTATTTAAATATATATTAATAATTGAAAAATTAATTTAATGATTAAAAATAAATTAATAATTCATGCCTTATAAATTTTCTCTATGATAGTTTCATGCATGTTTTGGGTCCTTGAATAATTAGTTCATTGTCATTTAAGACTCAAATAAGATTAAAATTTAAAATATCAAGACATGGGGGTGCAAAATATGAGAAAGACACTACTATAAAAAAAGGCCTTTTACACCGATTAAAAAAGGCTTTTTACACCAGTTCCACAACCAGTGTAAAATGTCTTGACTTTCTACACCGGTTATTGAACTAGTGTAAAAATGTTTGTTTTTACACCGCTTAAAACACCATTAAGTCATTTAAGAGATGAGAACCCTAAAAAAAAAGCTGTGAGGGGAACTTTCTACACCGGTTACATGAAAATCGGTGTAGAAAGTTACACTTTTTATATTGCTTACACCAACAATCGGTGTAGAAATTTCTCTTTCTACACTAGTTGCATGAAAAATCGATGTGGAAAGTGATACTTTCTACATCAATTGTTGCAACAACTGGTGTAGAAAGTATCACTTTCTACACTGGTTAATGCAACAACCGGTGTAGAAAGTATTTTTTTTTAATATTCCATTCATTTTCTTTCCCAACCTCCCTATAAACATGAAAATCACTAGTACAAGATAATCTACAATTGTAACAAAACATCATATATTTATAATTTAATCCCCTATAATATTTATGTATGTAAAAGCCATTTCAAACAAACCAGTAACAATTAAATTACAAATTGTTCCATATCAACAAACCATTAATTGAATCTAAAACATGATAACTCTTGAACTCACAAGTTTGTGAGTTTTAAAAATCCTTCCGCCCAACAAGTGCAAATCTCCTTTATTTCATCGAACGATAAAGGATCAGTATTGTCAAACATCTGTATTCAAAACCAAAAAATCATAATTGGTTACATGTAAGTATATATATAAAAAATAATGGGTAAAAACATGATTACCTCTTTAGAAAACTTAGTAGTCCTAAGAGTGATGATATTGATCAAGTGTGACATCATGTAGTAATTGCATTCAACACTGAGCTTGGGTTGCCTTTGATTCTGTATGGAAGAACATATAATTAGTCTTATATATGATAATAGGTTCGTTCAACTTGATAAATCAAAACTACCTTCGGCATTATCCATGCAGGTTCCTTCAATTGGAATGGTTTCTTTCTTCTTTCATGGTTTGATAAGTCATCATCGCTCTAGTTAAAAAAAAATATACAATAGGAGTTATTATCTTATATGGTTTGATAGTAATGTAAACATTACAAAAACAAAAGTAACTTATGTGTTCATTGTTTTTTTTATCTCCTTTCCTGGCTTGCTATGGGTAGAGTACAAAAACAAAATATGGTTCAACTTCGGACAAAGAATGATCAATTGCCAATGATCCCTATAAAATATAAAATGAATTGATTATCCAACAACAAGAAAAGCTTATAAATCAATAATTTAAAATTGTTTCTTACAAGTCAACATGTGGTGCCAAGTAGCATTCCTAATTGCCTTCACTCAATCTTATCCGAAGATACTCAGCTTTGATTTCATCATCATTCCCAACATTTTGGATATGTTGGGGGCAAACAAAGCCAAATTTATGGCTTTTGCCCAATGAGGTGCAAAGGTGATAAAGATACCTGTAACAATCAATTATCATATCAATATCAAGAGTTGAAATTAATAATTAGATATTAATAAAAAATACTTACATGAGAAACACATGCATCATTTGACAGGTAACTCTATCTCATCAATAATCGCACTAAATCTTCCCTTTCAATATAGACATTCAACTTTTCCTTACCTAAAACTATTGGATCAATCGGCAATGTCAAATTATTAAAGTTTTCAACATATGCTAGTAAAGATAAATGTTGTAAAGGAGGCATGTGACTTTTAGGATGTGGTGGCCATAGCAACATCTTTTGATAGACCACTATGCTAAATAATAAAAAAATAGTTTAAAATAGTATAAGAATTAATAAAAATACAAGTAACAAATAAGAATAATAAGAATTTGTTATACCTCATCAACATTAAAAAGATTAATGAGCTTTTTTGGCCATAAAACAAAATTTTTGAGGGCTTCACCCACAGTTTTGACCTCGTCGGTAGGGAATGGGAAAAGGCACCATCATCTTTCGATTCTTCAATTGTGACTCTCACTTGATCATCTTTTATTGGTTGGTGGTGGATGGTTGGCCCTAAATTGTAAAGTCTACCATATGTTACCAATCACCAATGAGGATCCTTAATATAATTTACAAGGCTTATTCGCTTCGATTTCAGAATTGTTTGATACATTTGGCACAACACAACTCCCTTTTGTACTTTGGCCACATGTAGGAGATTCTTGGGTTGCTTGAGTGCTAATGTTTTGTCATAAAGAGCTCATCATAGTCATCATCTCCTCTTTTAGTGCTGTGATTTTTACATGAAATGTAGCTTTTATCTACTCCAGCAAGTCTTGCACCACATTTTTGGTGTACATTCCAGGTGGGATATGTGAAGGCGCTCCAAAGTAGTCCCTAATGCCCACTCCCCATCCAAGTCCTCTAGCACGCCGTGGATGCTCCCCTTTTCTAGTAGTAACAATGAGTATATCATTCCTTCCTTCTGGAATGAAGGTGCCTTGGGCTTGTTGTTCTTTAAGAGAATCTTATAACATACAAATAATAAACATGATTAATAATTAAAATAATTTATACTATAATTTATGAAAATAAAATTTAAAATTACTTACAATCTTCTCGGCAACTATACGTGCCTTTTCACTTGTGTAGGCTCCTTGCTTTTTGCATGATTGATGTGCATCCCTCCATTTATCTTCACGAAAGATGGGAAAAAGTGGCCTTGTAATGATAGAAGGATCGGACTGAGCTAGTTCTTCAAGCTTTCTCTTCTTTTCTTTCATCATCTCTTCCTCTCGCTTGTCATAACCCCTACGAGACAATGTGTGTGGACAATCATTCTTCTTAGCTAGCTCTTGTGCCTTTTCCCTTCTTTCCTGTTGATAAAAACAATAACAATTGGCATTCTTGTACAATTCAAAAGAACTATAGTGAATACTAAAAAACAATAGACTAACTAGAGCTTCTGGAGTTGTTTGCATTCTATAGAATTCCCTTTAAGTCTCCTCATTAAGGAACGGGTAATCAGTAAGAGGATTAGGAGGAGTCTCCCCCTCTTTTAACTTAACATGAATATATCTATTGGCTAGACTAGTTTTGAACTGCTTCTAGCGTCCCTCATAATATTGAATTACAGTCCTTCTCAGTGCAGCACTAGGAGGAACATTAAAT